GTCTCGGAGTCCTGTGGTCGTCTTGCAAACATGTCTCATCAAAATGTGCTCTTTGTGTGGTCCTTCCCCTCCAGCACATAGTTCAAGGATATTGAACAGGAAGGTTTCAGAGATGAGATGAAGCACCAGAGATATGAGGAAACTGGAGAAGAGAGTGGAAGTGAGAGGCTGCCAGAGGTTAACATGGTGATTTATCAAAGGGGTGGCAGCCCACACCAGGGCTGAAAGAACTTTGGGGAGTCCTTCAGTCTGTCAGGCTAAGATAAACAAATCCAAAGGTTGGAATTCAACGGGGGAGTTGCAAGGGGAAGGAGGAGGGGACAGGCCCTGTATTCCTCATCCTGGGTCTGAGGGAGATTCCAGGTTGAGCTCCCCTGCTGCCTGGCCTCCCAGAGCTTCCCCTGGCCTACATCATTCTGCAGCACCACAGGGGGAAGCAGATAGGTGGGAGGATGGAGAAAATACAAAACTTTGCTCAATCATGAAAGATAGCCTCACATCTTTGCAGTAGAGCATCACCTGTTAACAGCAGCCAGGATCTCACTGCCAAACCACAGAAAGTTCAGAGGGAAAAAAAGGCAGGGTGTAAACGGTTAAGTTAAAAGGATCAGTCCAAACCAGGAGGCTGGGCAGTTAGTAGGGAAAAACACTAGGTGTCAAGGGACTCTTTGTCCCAGCAGGAAGGCAAGGGTGCACAGATGCTGGAAGCAGGGGACCCATCCTGATAGGAGTGCAGAGCAGGCTTGTTTGCAACGTGGGGCACTGCTCTCTGGGACAGGCTTCTGCAGAGGAAGTGGTTTTGCACTCTTATTCCTTTCACAGCCAGACAAACCACTGCCTGGAAGGCACTTTGACCAAACAACAGAACAGCTGAGCTGATGTGCTGTGGAAAAGCAAGGAGGACCCAAGGAGTAGCACCAGCCCTTGTGCAGGACCAGCTCTGCTGGCCAGGACAGCTGTGCACTGTCCTTCCCCTCCAGTATGTCCCAGGGAGGGAGGCTGCAGCTCCCAACAGGTCTTGCACCCCAGGAGGACAACCAGAAAATGAGTACCCCATGCGAGAGGAGCCCTTTTCCCTGTAGGAGAAGGTCTTGGACCCACAAACCAGAGGTGCTGAGCCAGAGGGAGGACAGGAGGCCAGCAGCACTTGGGCAGGAAAGAGATGCAATCTCACCACCCTCCTTTCCTGAGCTGAGAGGTGCAGCAAATAAAAGAAAGCAGATAACAAAAGCTATCCCTGCTGTCGCTCACTGGGCTGATGACCTGGCTCAGCAAGGGGTCAGCATGAATTAGGTTTCCTGGCAGCGCGAGGCTGTGCTTTTAGAGGGATAATTCACTGGGTAGCATGGGACAAAAGGGCTTGGCCCACATCATGGAGGGGCCTAAAGCAGAGGGCAGGACTAGATCATGACTTTGGGCAACCCCAGGGAATCTACACTTTTTTGGTGACAGCGATGAGACACATCCTGCCACTTTTCTCTTTGTGTTGAAAAAACACAGCAAGCCAGGAGGAAATTTCATTAATGCTTTGGAAATTGCTTGCTTACTGCATTAATATTTACTAGTCTATACAGCTGTTCATCAGGTAGGCGTTCAGCAGCTGGTAATAGAAAATGCAACTAGGACATGGAGTAAGCAGCTAACCACAGACCTGGAGAAGACCCTGGTAAGTAACAGTGTGTGCATGTATAATCACACGTTTGTATACGTGCTCAGATGGCATCATGAACATGAACCATGAAGCAGAATCCATGAAGAGATCAAAGATGTTGTGGCTTTCCCAAGTGCCAGGCAGGTAACATGCCGGCTATGGAAGGGGTCACACCCATGACATATCTTTATAACTGTGCACTTGAAGAGGATGGTCAGTTTGGACTGAGATTGAGACTTGGAAGTTTTCTGTGCATTCCAAGGAGGTGATGGAGATGGGGGAACACAGCTCAAACCATGTGCGTCATTGGTCATGGCCCCCCTACAGTCACAGAAAACATCCTTATGTTGGCCACACCCACCCCAGACCCAAGACCCTGCAGAACCTCCTTGTGCAGTGTGAACTGGGGAGGGAGACCCCCCACCACGTCTCCCAGTGACTGTGCCTGCCCACAAGGACCAAGCACACCCATCCATCTTGTCAAAATGCTTTAATATTTAGACATGAAGACAGGACAGAGCCAGTCAGGCTGTGCACGCACAAGACACCCTTGAGCCATGGTGTAAAGCTGCAGGGCTTCCCTTCTCGATGAGTGTGTGGATTTGGCCAAGATGCAGTTCAGCTGATGACATCCCAAGTGTACCAGTGGGGTGCACATGAGGGTTAGGGAAGAGGGATGGGGGCTCCCCGGGGCAGCTCAGAGGTTGTTCAGCTCCAACAAGGTCTGGTCCAGGACCTGGTGGATGCCCACATTCTCCTCTTTGGCACTGTCCAGACTCTCTGTGAACACAAGGGACATACAGTCAGCCACACACACAGACACGGACACAGCCCAAGCATACCCAGGTGCAGCCGGATCCACGCACACCACACCAAGCACAGACATACACACACAGACAGACATTTCAGTACGGCACCAGCCTCCAGCCACAGAGGGTATCTCTGCAGAGCAGACTTCACGCAAGCAACCCCACCACCCATCCTCCTTCCCTCTAGAGATGAGGATGGGACAAGAGCTCTGCCCACCCAGCCTTGTCTCCCAGTGCTTCCAGACAGGCTCTTCCCCGTCTCAAGTCTGGGGTAACAGGTGCTACTGGGTCCACAGCTCTTGTCCCAGCCCTCCCAGCACCCTGCAGGGACCCCACTCTGAGGGTATCCTCCCTGCATAGTGAGGGGGAAGCAGCTGGCCACTGACTCCTGGGACAAGGGTAGGAAGGCAGCGATACAAGCCCACTGCATGCCTCCCTAGCGGGGCTAGACTGACACTGGGGGACAGCTATCACTGCATGGGCATCCCATAACATCACAAAAACCCTTGTTCCTCTCCCAAGAAAAAATGATCAGCTCCAGAAGGCTCCCTGTCCCCTCCAAGCAGGGCAGTTACCCTCAGGGATATAAGCCAAGGCTCCATGCACCACCTAACCCCAGCGGGGAGTGCGGAGGGGCTCGCACAACCCCAAGCCAGCCTGGACAAAATGAGGCAGGGAGTGGGGTCGATGGCAGCCCAGGTACAGGAGGCTGGGCTGGGGCCGGGAGTTCTCAGCAGCTCAGTTGTTAAGTTCAGTAAGGATGACCCGCAGCTTGTTAGTGAGCCTCCTGCTGGGACTGCTCTAGAGAAAATGGAGACATCAGTGCAGCAGAGGGAAGAGAGAGAGAGAGAAAGGCAAGTTAGTGAAAAGAGACAGCGTTCCCCAAAGCCCTTGCTGGAAACCCTGCTGCTGCTCAGACAGCAGTGGGGAATGAGTTGAGCCAGTAGGAAGAGGCAGACAGTCCTGGGGCAGGAACAGGGCTGTGGGTCCATCAATTTGGGGAATTTATGGGGCAGGGTAGGATGCTGAAGAAGGAGGAAGATGAGAATCAGAGACCCAGTTAGGGATAGGAATCACTGCTGAAGGATAGGGTCAGCCCCTTCGGCATGGGAGGGTGACACAGGAGATGCCAGGGCTGAGACTGCTGTTTGTGGGCAATGTCTGGGAGTGGGGACAGGGAATGGACAAGACCAGGTCTAACCCTGCTATTTCAGGCCAAAAGAGTCACAGAGAAGGTGGCACGAGATGAGGAAAGCTGTGTCTGAGAGCTGGGGGTGGTGGTGGGGGTCATCTCCTGGGCGAAGGCACAAAGGGCCCTGTCCCAATCAACTCGGCAGTGTGGGAGCTGCTCAGGGCTCAGCTGCAGCCATCCCAGGGGTCCCTGCAACCACCTCCTACCACCCGGCTGCTGGCATCTGCATGAGATAGGCAGAAGATGAGGGACAGAGCAGCATGAAAAAAAAAAGGAGAAACAGAGGAGAGAAAATGCTTTATTGAGACCCACTAAGTAACCCAGAGGGACAGAACAGAAAAGAAAATGTCATGAAATGCCAACTTAAGAGCAATGTGCAAAGGACAGAAGGGAGGCAGGGGCAAGGGAGGAGCAGGGGTCTGGGGGCTGCCTGCCTGGGGATGGGCTGCCTGCACAGCTGGACCTCCCCCTGCCCCCCAGGCCTAAGCCCTCCTCTCTGTTTTTGCATTGGAGGTGCTGCTTTCCCTGTGAGCCCCTCCCCCGCCCTGGGCTCAGCAAGCAGAACCAGGAGGCTTTGATGGGGGGATGTGGAGGAGCAGAGCTGTGGGGTCCCTGGTGCTTGTTCTGCCAGGGAGCTGAGGAGGGAGCTACTGAAGCAAAGGGCTCCTGGGCACAGCTCTGTTCCCCTCCAAGCAATGCTGGGGCATAGACCTGCAACTGCACGGGCACTGTCCACCCAGTGTGTGGGGGTCCTGAAGGCTGCTCCCCTTCCCCACCAAACACCCCTAAGCACCTACACCTCGTCTCCCCACAAAGAGGGATATTGTGGGAACACCCTGGGCCAGCTCTTGTCCCAAAGGGGCCGACAGACAGGCATAGGCTAGGAAGGACAGAGGGAACAGAGCAGGCAGGGAAAGTGGTGGGATGGTCAGGCAGGCAAGAGGCTGAACTGGGGAGGGAGTGAGGCAGGCAGGGGGGTGCAGTGCTGATGTCGGGTAGGGGTCTCAAAGGGAGGTGATGTCATTAAGTGCTCTTCGCTGATGGCTTTTGTACTTCATCTTCTGCGCATACACTTCATCTGCATGTGGGGGGTGGGCAGGGGGCAGGCATGGAGCAAGATGGGAGGTGGGCAGAGGGAAGAGAGAGAGTGGCTGTGAGTGAGGGGTCAAGGGCAACAGGAGTGTGTGGGCACAGGTGGTGTGGATGCGGCACTATTCCGCAACTGAGGACAGAGGCACAGACACCAGCAGCTCTGTGTCCCCACACCAGACATCATGGCAGCCTCCCCATTCCCATGACCCTTGCCCATCCCCTCACCCCAGCCAAGCCCTGTCCACCCTCACCAGGGGCCAGTGATCCCTGGGAAAGAGGGACACAGGGCCAGTGAGGACATTTTACCTTCTAGATCATCGATGGTTTTCTCCATTTTTGCCACAGACTGCTCCGCAAACTCTGCCCGGGTCTCAGCCTGTGAGAGTGCAGGGGGGAGAGGGTGAGCTGCAGGGCACAATGGGGATGGCTGCACTGCACCCCAAATCTGCCCCATCTGCATCTCTCGTATCCCCCACCATGAGCCCTCTCCTGGGAAAGGCAAGGGACAAGAGCCCCATGGATCTCCATGCCCTAAACCAGCAACAGAGATCTTGCCCTCAAAGGAGGCAGGTATGCAAAGTGCCTCCATGTTGGGTTTCCTGTTTATCCCAACCTGTCCTGACCACCAAATGCAGAGGCATCATGCAGAGTGCAGCACAGGGCTGCAGGATACACCTCAGCAAGGCTGTGCTCCCTGGGGATGCAAACACCAGCCCTCCAGACAGGACAGGCACGCTCTCCAGGGTAGCGGGACCCCATGGGGGCATCCCAGACCCAGTCACCCGCCATACTGCAGGGCTGCAATTTGGGGAAGGGTGAGAGGACATGGGCATAACAGGGTAAAAACCCACATGAAATGGCAAACTCATGCCTGCACTGATGCAGTACCAGCCCCTCTTTTGAGGGTCCCAGCCCTACACACCTTACCTCCTTCAGTTTTTCCCCTAGAAGCTTGATTTCCTCCTCGTACTTGTCCTCCTTGGTGGAATACTGCAGAGACAGAAACAGGCACCCATTTCTGGTCAGCAGCCAACTGAATATGAGCCACCAGTGTGCCCAGGTGGCCAAGAAGACCAATGGCATTCTGGCTTGTGTCAGAAATATTGTGACCAGCAGGAGTAGGAAAGTGATTGTGCCCCTGTACTGGGCACTGGTGAGGCTGCACCTCAATACTGTGTTCAGTTTTGGGCCCCTCACTACAAGAAGGACATTGAGGCACTGGAGCGTGTCCAGAGAAGGGTAACAAAGCTGGTGAGGGGTCTGAAGCACAAGTCTTATGAGGAGCAGCTGAGGGAACTGGGGTTGTTTAGTTTGGAGAAGAGAAGGCTGAGGGGAGACCTTATCCACCTCTACAACTACCTGAAAGGAGGTTGTAGTGAGGTGGGGGTCAATCATAGCTAGTGATAGGACAAGGGGTAATTAATGGCCTAAAATTGTGCTGGGGAGGTTTAGATTGGATATTAGAAAAAAATTCTTCACTGAAAGGGTTATCAGGCATTTGAATTGGCTGCCCAGGGAAGTGGTCACCATCCCTGGAGGTATTTAAAAGACAGGTAGATGAGGTGCTTGGGGACATGATTTAGTAGTGGACAGGTTATAGTTGGACTCGATGATCTTAAAGGTCTTTTCCAACCAAATGATTCTATGAATGTATTCTATGAACCCCACAGGACACCTCTGGCCATCCTTTGCCCTGGTGTGGGACCTCAGCACCCCCAGACCCCGCACACTCTGCCCCGCCCCAGCAGCCCTGCTGGGTCCTACCTTGTCAGCCTGAGCCTCCAGAGACTTCAAGTTGTTGGTGACAATTTTCAGCTCCTCCTCTAGGTCACCACATTTACTACATCCCAAGCAGGGGCCACCAGGCAGGGGAGGGTGAGAGGGAGGAGCAGAAAGAGCAGGCATGGGGAAGGAGGAAAGAGAGAGAACAAGTTGAGAGAGGGGAAAACTCAGGCAGCGCAGGTGGAGAAGGAGCAGAGCCACTGTGAGCAGAAGCTGCCGGGATGCATTTGTTCATCCATTCCTCATGTCTTCTCA